AAAAAAACAAATAATCTCGAAAAAAATCGTCTCGTACTACTGCCAACGCTGTATGAATAATCCAGTAGTGTAACGTATAATAATACGCGAGTTATAACGTGCAAAGTATGATGTGCGGGTGTATGCCACAGAGTTAGATATAAAAGTGATCAACTTTCGGTATCCGCATTCGTAATTTACAGATTGTACAATATCGGTTTCCCCGGACAACCTGGTGTTTTCGTTGCCTGCTCAGATCATTGTTATTACGTTCTTTGGGCGTAGCCAGACGACGCACAGTAGTCCAAAAATGATAACAGTTGGCCGAAAATCTAATTTTTCAAAACTCGTTAAAAATAATATACTTTGTATTATATAAATCTTGTTTTCATTCTTATTTGGTTATTTTTAATTTTGAAGCATTAAAAAAGTATACAATATAATTCTGTTTTATGGTGAATAAAATATTTTTAATGACAATTATAAAATAATGTAATATTATTCCTTTTTAAATACTTGTTATTAAAATATATTTAAAAATAGTTCATTTATATAAATTATATTGTTCTGAATATGCATCACTACGATTTATGTTACTTATAAATGGATCTGATGAAAAACAATCTTTGAAATATATCAGTATTTATATTTTTCCTAGATGATTTTTTACTAAAATTTTCTCTATAGTTTTTAATATATTTATTACGAACTTCTTGTACCTCTTCACTCATTTGTCCCATGAGTAACATAAATGATTTTGTTGTTGATACACCGTGAAATAATATTTTACGCACACTTGTTAGCATGTAGTACAAATAAAGTTCTATATACATCTGAGCACTTTCTAAACAATTATTTCCAAATTTTTCAGATTTAAACGACTATTATAAATTGTGTTGTACTATTGGGCTCCTAGCCTGTTCATTTATATAAATGAATAAATAACTACACGATGAAGTATGTAGAATATCGCTAAATCTTTTTATTAGTCCTTCAACGATTTCCGTTATTTTAGCTGATATTAAAGTATTTTTAAAGAACCATCTAGCTGTATTACCCTCATTGGTTGTACCAAAACCTTGTTTTAGAATATCAATTAGCAATCCCAATTTCTCTCAAAAGAGGTTTTGTATTTTAACTTTTCGTTTTTTTAGCAATACATAATTTCCATCCTTTACAGTTGCCTTAAACATAAATTATAAATAATTTACAGTTATTTGATTATCTATATTTCTTAATTTATTTTTTAATTTATAATAGTGTCACAATTATCTAATTGCCAATGTAGAATCATACTTTTCTTTTTCTTAAAATAAAAAAAAATAATTTGTTAAATGCTGACCTGTGCCCACTTTTTTGGGTGGTTAACATTTTTACTTGTGATGAAATTATGATAGTGGTACGGTTATTACTGAGTATTATGATTTATTTTTCTGACTATCAAAAAGAGATTTATATTGTAGGTGGAAATGTTTACGAATTAATTCTTGAAAAGAGCTTTGAACTAAGAACAGTTTTTCCAAGCTATTGCTTACTGCGTTAATGATAATTTTGTAAAAAAAAAAAAAAAATGTTGAAAAACTGTTTTACCTGTACTGTACGTTGAGATTACGTAAACCAGGTGCTTTTACTACTGTTACAGGTGAAAATGAATTGGAGAGTAAAAAGAGATATTTTGAAGAATTGAAATCCATTATCAATCGTTACAACAAAGTGTTAGGGTAAGTGATCGTATTCGTCTGATTATTTTAACGTGTGATCTTACCTGGGGCGTTTGATTCAATTGCAATGTTTTACAATGCTTTGGAATATTTAATTTCGTTCTTGAGCGTGTGTGGATCTAGGGGGAGGGAATTCAGGAGGTCAGTTGATCCGCATTTAATACTTGTTGACGGAATCTGTTTCTTATCTTTTTTAAGGGTGCCAACCCCCTGTTCAATTGTAAATTATTGATAAAACGTCTGTATACCGGACCCCGTGTAAGGTGTAATCCTCCATAAAATAAAATAAATTGTAATATTTTCAACGATGATTATGAATTAACTTAAAAACACATGGTATGTGATACTACGTATATTATGATCATATGTGTATTTTGTTGTTTTGTTACAAGAAATATATTTGCAATCCGGTTTCAACCCTAATAAGTGTCCTCTCGAAACGTCCTGATCCGCAGGGTTCCCTAAGTCACTTACAGTCCACCCTTGCTCGAGCTATGTGCGCGTATGCCGAATGACATTTATACGCTGATCATCATTGATCTCATACGGCACTACTAAGCTCCATCCATTGAAAGCGATTTGTGTCGATTGTTTATTAATGCACGTGCAATGTTTGTTGAACAGGAAAATGCACGATTTTTACGAAATCGTTAGACCGGTCATTCTACCCCAACTAATGGTGGCTTCGGTTACTATAATATGCCTATCGTTTACTCTATCATTGGTAATTCATTACGGTACCAAACTGTACGATAAATATTTTAAATTAAATCGTATAATACTATGTATTAATATTAGTCAGACGATTATAGGTTTTTTTTTTTTTTTTAGAACTATTTAAACGGTACTCTACTCACGTCATCGCAATCGATAAAATTTTTCAGTTTTCCAACGTTTCTCTTTCAGATATATTACACTTGTCTCGTATTCGGCAATCTCAACGACCAGGTGAGTCTACAGTTTCAGATTGCACGACTATTAATACAAAAAACTCAATACCATCATCAGCTACCTCCGAAATTAACACAATTTAATATTTTAACATAACCTAGAAAAACGCCTTGAGCTTTGCGATGTATTCGAGCAATTGGACGCAGATGGATATGGAGTTTAAAAGATTGTTTTTGCTAATGATGAAAATGCACAACGCCAATGGATTGAACATGAAGATTACGAATAAGTTGACCATTGATTTGGAACTATGCGCTCGCGTAAGTGCGAAACATATTTTTACCATTAACCGTAGTAAAAACACGTAATCGAATATTATTTATGTCAACGTTTTTTGTATAATTCTAATAATAAAACATTGACAGTATTAATAACCAGGGCTGTAGCAACCAAATATTGCTCCCGGGGTGAAACTTCAAAATACGCCTTTAAGTATTTTAGTTTATAAAAAAAACTCACAAAAAATTGAATATTTTTTATAGATGTAATGTAAATAATGATTTTTCCTTATAATTATGTAAGCGTTATTTAATTCTATTTAAATCAATAACTTATTAAAACATAAATATACATAATATTTAAGAGTATAAGTTATATAAGTAATTACATAAATACATATTATTGCTTTTATTTATAAGTAACAATTAAATTGAATATTTTTCATTTCTGCACCCTCCCGGGAATTGCACCTTAAGCGTAAGCACCTCTAGCCCCTTTTTGCTACAGCCCTGTTAATTACAAACGGTTAACTAATAAGTTATTAGTAATAACTGTCTATAATATATTAATACGCGTTTATTTCTAACGACCCCATTTATCAAACTTGTTCATATACACTGAAATATATGAAAATCAGTAACCTTTGCTACGTTAATATTTTTATTATTAGATTTAAATTTAAAAATTCCCTTATGATTATTCATAGCGAGCAACTTAGATTTAATTATTTTTTACTTTATTTTTATTTGATGGGAAAGGTATATATGATTGTTAAGTGAACAATTTTTTTTTTTTTTTTTTAATATCATTTACTTTTTTAGGTGATAAATATGTGTTATTCAATTTTTTCGGTTTTGGTAAAATCGCAGTTGAAATCAAGGAACAACATATAAAATTTTCCATTCATTGAATATTCAGCATTAGTAACAAAAACGTATAAAAACTATAAAGAATATTCCTGTTGATAAAATACAAACTAGAATATCAACTATTGATTGCGCCGTTATCACTGTTTTATTTTAATCCTTAAGTTGAAAGCTTTAAAACCAAAGTGGCTTACTACTGTTTAATCAATGGTCTGTCTATTTTAACCTAGACGTTTGTTGAACCTCCAAATATCAATTTCACGTTTAGATATAAATATTATAATACATTATATAATCAAATAAATAGTCCAAGGATCATAAAACAATGACGAAAAATGTCATTTAATCTTAAGCATTCGAGTTAGTTTTATTAGGTTTCTAGTGTTACCAGTAAAGCAATATGCATATTATAGAGGAGCTTTGTAATTCATTTTTGCTATTGTTAATCACGGAGTAGAGTAGAGAAATTTACAATGCATTTTAATATTGTACACATTTACTTTCGGGAACTAAATTGAAACTAAGTAAACGTAGTGTTACTTAATATTACAATGTTATCGTTGTTAAGTAATTTATTTTTTTACAGTCATTAGAAACCAATTATGTTTTTATCGATTAGTGTAATGGATGATTAGATCATAATCATACTTTTCAGTACGATTAAATCTTGAAATTGTATTTTGAAAACTGCTTTAGTAATGATGCTATTGAATTTTTTCGCAAAAATTGTTTGAACAATAAAATAATATAGTTCGAATAAAACGTTACAGGATCTTATTTATTTCTAAGATTTCAAGTAAGTTTAAAATATTTTGCGGAGTTTGTCGTCGAAAATAGCCTATATATATATATATATTTTTTTTTTTAACAAGTACTTTTTCCGTACAAAAAGTGCGTCGTCCAAATTATCTTTTCAATATTTATGTATGGTTATTTTTTACACACCGATACCGGTTGCAATATTATAATAAGTCATCCTAACTCTGAAGTGATGGCTAAATTATGTGTGTCAACGTGCCATAATATGGATCACGAATCATATTAACGGCGGACGGTATTATATTTTTTATTTATTCGGACCGTGGTACGGATAACATATACGAATTACGTATCGTCTTGTTTCTAAAATATTTTCGATTTGTTACCGGTTTGAATTTACTGTGTAGTAACTGAAACTGTCGTTTTTCACACTTACACGTCCAACCTTTACTAATGTAGAAATAATTTCAATTATCGATTGGGGGTATCAAATAATAATGCGAAAAATGAGAAAACACGTACACGTTTGTATTACAACTGTTTAGCAATAAGAAATGTACACAAATACGAATTGGCCAGACCCGGACCATAATACAAATAGGGCGTTAGTGGGTGGGAACGCGGAACACGCAAAAAGAGCGGTGCAGATGTGTCGGCGGTGTCCTCCCCTCACGAAAACTGGACCATGAAGTCCCCGTAGAGGTTTTGGACCTTCTTCTTGGCCCGAAACTTCGCGACCTCGTTGTCCATCAGGATGCGACCATAAACATCCAAGTACTGCTTAAAACGCACCTGGTCACGTTTCAAGTAGTACTTGTTCATCCTGGTAATAATTTTGACGCCTATGTCGTACGCGACGGGCTTCACGTACAGGGACAACGAGCGCACGTTGCTCACGGCCAACCATTTCGCCGGCATCGTCCGCGGAGGCACGGGCCGCCGCCGTTGTTCGAGCGATTCTATCATTTGCGTGATATCCTCCATCGTACACGATGATCCAACATAAACGATGAATCAAACGCGATGACAAATCGCCTGCAATGAACCGGTCACGGTGTTGAACTGACCGACACTGAACGCGGCGAAATCTTTGAACGCGTTAACCCTACCAAACGATGTTGCGGTGCAATGTTTCCGATCCTGTTGGCCAAGCAACTCTACGTTTGCGGGCTGGTTCCGGTCGTGGCCTGATTGGTGATGACGTCCTGATGATCCAGTGTGTAAAATTTAAAACCAACAAACCAACTCGAGAACAACGCCTACTGCGGATGCTATATGAATACGCAAGAGGTGTAACGTGTAATATATAATGTACATGTGTACGCGACAAAGTTAGAAATAGAAGTGATGTGCTTTCGGTTTCCATACTCGTAGTTTGCAGATTGTACAACTATTGGTTACCCCGGACAACCGTGGTGTTTTCGACGCGAGCGCAAATCATCGTTATTAATAATAATTTATCATGTTCTTTGCACAGTATAACTTTTGACGACTTAAGATCCTAAATAATAAGTGATTACTAATTTTATCTCTATATATGATTTTTTTTTTTTTTTACAAATATTTCTATATATTATGAAGGGTCTTTTTAGGGACTGTTTTGTATAAATTGTGTAAAGGTACAATTTTTTATCGTTAAATAAAAGATTTAAGTAATAAAATATAATATGATTTATATTTTATTGATACTCATTTAAACCTACAACTTGCTGCATGGTGGGACATATTTCATCCCACCTATGATAACTTTTTTGTAAAAAAATTTTTTTAACTTCTAATTCGTATTATTTAATAAGACAATATTATTGTTTTGTATTTGGAATATATTTTTCTGAAAAAATTGGTACCTGTGCACCCAAAGTATAGAAATTATTCAGACTCCTGTGCTGAAAATAGTTAAGACACTTGTCACATAAGTTGCATGTGCATTGTATACCACGAGAACGAATCTTATAATAATCATATTTTAATAACTTATAACGGTAATCGATTTCAAACGTATAAAGCTTAGCAATTTTTAAAAATCGAATGAAAATAATGTATTGCTTGTAAAAATTACTTCGTCATGGCTTTGCAAATGAAATAGATAAGTAAAAAATCTATATGCCCCCATCCAACAAATGCGTGAAAATCTTTATACATGAAGCGCTGTAATTATATTATCGATAAAAATGAGATTTATGTATTCGTGTACATAATTTTGAATTTAATAAAAAAAAAAAAAAAAAAACCTTTGTATATTTATATCGTTTTATTCGTATATGACCGGTATTTTCATAGAATATAAGAATGAATATCAAATTTAGTGATGGTACAGTGACAGCTTGACTTCATCAATTTAACTCATTTACCTGTCCTCTATCTATAAATCATTCGTGTAAAATTGAGCCGAGTGTTTTGCGTGAAAACAGTATCAAATATCGCACTACTTTTTTTATAATAAAAATTATATGTTACCCAGGTATCTAGAAAAATATAAATTTGTTTTTATTCAGTGATAAAAGTACAATGTACTACAACGACATATATTAAGAAATTTTGACATTTTTTTTTTTTTATGTTCTTCAAGATAGACAAAACGTATGGTAAGAAAAGTGGATCACGAGTCAAAAAGAATGATGACCTTTTGATTTATAGTACAGTTGTCTTATCCCTTACGCATGCCAAAATATTAATTTGTATTGAATTTATCTGTAGTCGTAATGATGCCGCCGAATATTGCAATTCAAATGCTTCGCATAAATATTTTTTTTATATTTACCCATTTGGTTATGTTTTATATTTGATTAAGTCTAAAATTGTACCAGATAACTTCGTAATCATTAAACGTATTAAAAGTGGTGCGTTTACCCTGTCCACTAAATGTATTTCAGTATGGCATTTATAAGTACATGTATTTATAAATTGGTTCTTCCCGAACAATTCGGTGTTAACTTAAACACTTCCTCTAATCTTAGTGTGACCACAGGTGTTAATTGAATCGTTTTTAATTTTATTTTCTACTGGAAGTTTAACTGCGTGTGTGTATGATCAGTTTTCGTATTACTTCAAGTATTTATTTGATATTTGGAACTAAAACTTTTTAATTAATTTGATTTTTTTCTCGAAATTTTCAATATTGTTCTCATTTTTGAGACTAACTTCTTTTATTATTTCAATAGGGTTTCCTTTGTTCGTTCGTAAGTAGCTCACAGTAACGAAGATTTATCAGTTTCCACATCGGTATTTATAAAATATTTTTATTTAAAAAAAAAAAAAAAAAAATGTAATTTTAAACACTCAACAATAATAATATTTTTAATAATAATTCACCAACTCGCTTTGTATCTTAACGAATAATTTTTTTAAATAAATCATAATTACGTAGAAATTATGTTTGAACATGTCTGTTGATTGTTAATTGGTTATCGTTGAACTCGTTTTCTTGTAGTTGGAGAAAATGTGCGCAGTTTTTGTGATTCGGTTAAATTGCGTACTCGATGCGCAAAATTATGTAGCGTTTGTTCGACACGGTTACGCAATGTTCAAATGTAAGTATGTTTTAAGTTTGATCTAGTAGACTATCAAGAATACGTTTTACGGAATGTTCATTAACGCTTTTAATTAAATCGACATAGACGAAGTAAAATTATAATAACAAATACAAGCTGAGCGTCTACACTGGATAAGTCCGAGATTGGTGTTGAACCGGAGAATTTATATATCCCGTTTGATGGTGTCATCGACGGTTCATCTGATTGTTTTCGCCAGTTAGTTGCCCTTGTCCTTGAATCCTATCTAACAATAATTCTAGTCCTTTGAATTCAGCAACGTGTAACGTACACGATTATTAGTTATTACAAATTTTATGTGGAAACATCGTCGTGCGTTTCCTCCGCGACTATTTGATTGACGGTCCGCGGTCCTCGGCCGTACGATCGTTTACTGACTTAAAACTGTTAATTTTATTATTCCGTTTTTTATAACACTTCTGACATTTCGCGTCCCGTTTTATTCCAATAGCTGCATGGTACATTTCACGAACCCATTATAATTAGTTGATGGTCGCGTATAATCGTTCGACTGATTGTTGTTCTTCTCCTTTCTTCAGCTTAGCGATCCTTGAAGAGCCTGCCACAAGTAAGTCTCTCTACCTTTCTCTGTTGAGTGCTAATTCAACAGACGCATTCGCATCCACCAATTGAATGTCCCTCTTCACAGCATCCTTCCATCTCGTTCGCGGTCCACCCAGTGGTCGTTTTTTCTGTATCGTTGCGGTTATGACCTTTTTTAGTATGTCATCTTCAGCTCTCCAAATATGTCCAAACAATTTCATTCTCTTAGTTCTTATAAACGTTAATATTGTTGGTTTTCCATACAATTGGTACAAATTTTCGTTTTCCCGACTGAATGTTATTTGAACGATTGATATTATTATTATTCCGATTGCGAGAAGGCGGTCGATTATTATAATTGTTATAGATATTATCCGGTATTCGTTGATTCGAACGATGGACTTGTTACGATCTGCATTCATTAACACAGCGTTGTCCATTACATTTATAACATCTGATAGGTTTTTTATCTAACAATTATGGTAAGATAAATCACATTGTTCTGGTAATCGTAACAGAGATTTATTTTTAACGTTAAACGAAAAATTAAGATCCACCCTTCTGACGAACTGTACTAGTAGTCGATTAAACCATAGTGGGGTGAGCAACGCGAAACGTCAGCGTGTCGTACTCGTCTCGGTGAACTGT